TATAAGTCGGATACTATTTAAAAAGAATAAGTTCTTTACAATATGGCAACACTAATTAGACGCGAGGTCGCTTATTCATTCATTTATTTTCTTGTAGTAGGTACGCGTCGCACGTGTGCACTAAAGCTTTGTTGCCGCAATGTCCCCGGCTGTATTAACGCATTTTCTTAGTTTGTAGTCCTTAAGTGTTTATTTTATTTACTTTTTCTGTTCAAGAACAATAAAATATGGTGCGCCAGTGCCAAATTTGCAAGAAATTTGACTTAAATAATCCATTTAAGTTTTGAAACGACTTTCGACCGGTAGGCAACTCTCAATTGACCAACTGTGATTCAGTGGCGTTCTTGTAGAAAGGCGCTTATTTAGATAATATTTTAGTAAAATGTAAAATCTGAATTTTTTCTATTACATAATCATTTATATAAAGGTTATATAGCCCTGTGATAATAATGAAGATTACCGGCCAACTAATGCCGTCTAGAGCTTGACCGCGCCAAAATTATCATCGATTGTCATTCCCCAGCCGTCTTTGACGCCGTTTTTTTTCGGTCGTATGGGATAAAAATAACAAATATAATGAATATTCCCAGAGTGCCCACCCTGTATAACCGTATCCTATTCGAATGAAAACGACTTTTTTCTTACAAAAACATGGCTCTCTTTCACTTTACGAACACCAAACGTAACGTACTACGTACAGAGCCGCAAGGTCGCAATCGTTCAATAAAAAATCGTATTAATATCATTTAAACAATATAAAATAGCAATATTACGCCCATAATTTTAACAACGGAATTGTTTCTGAACCACCGAGTATCGTTACTGTTAAGTAACGAAGGTTTTACTTGAAAACTTATTTGCCAATTCATGTTCTTAATAAATAAAATATGAATATTTTAACAGATTAACACGAATGATAATTTGTGTTTCAGTTTATAGATCTGTGACAAGAATATACTCAAAAAAGTAACTAACATTTTTTACCTATTCATTTTCAGGGATACAGGGTGTCACAGAAACAAGTGCCAGTATTTTAACTTGTAGTATATGAAAAAAAGCCTCTTCTTAGAAACAGGCCCATGAGGTTTTTTTTGCGAAAAAAAAATGTTGAAAATTTTATATTTTTCTTAACATTTTCCAGAAAATATTGAAAAACTTTTGAGTGCCGCTTGTTCAGTTTACTACTCATGAGGAGAGCGAGGGGGGATTTTTTTTTAATTGTTTTGAATTATTAAGTTAGTTTTATTAGGTAATTTGATATTTAAGTAGCTGGGATTAGTTTTAATTAAATAAATATGGCCCAAAATATGGATTCCACCTCTTCCAATATTAAAGAACCTATAAAGAGGCTTAGGTTTACAGCAGATGACGACTTAGCCCTTCTAAGAGAGTTTTAAATTCAAAGTTAGGTTAAGTTTAAATGGCGGACGCGACGCGAACAGAATTCTTTCCTATGCGATAACTATAAATGAGAGAGAGTTAATACCAACTCACGTAGAGGAAATAACACCTGGCGTTATTAACGTCCATGCACGCTATTTCGTTTACCGATATCTCTCTATTACGCTGTTTATTGTTATTTTACGCGAGTTAGTTTTTGCGCACAGGAAATTTTACTCGTTTGTTCATCGTCATAAAAAACAATTTTCGTACCAAGAATTAGGGATAAGATTTTTATCTGTATACATATAGTATACCTAATCTGTGGTATTATTGTTAATCTGGGTTAACAATAAAAAACAAATAACCAATCACGGCGGGTCTCGATCAATTTCAGGAAACGTGGGAACTAATTTTTATAACACAAGTACTATTTCCAGAAATATTTCTGAGATAGGGGAACCGAAGGCAAAATGGCACCTTTAAGGAAAATGGAAAATAAATTTGTCAAATATAAATCTTTATTCGTGGGAAAAAACATAATTGTAACTCTAAGTTTTACAGTTTATAAAAAATAAACACACGGCAAAAAAAATAACTAAGACTAGTTAAAAAAAACAATAACAAAAAACAACTGTAATGGGCCGTTTTGCCTGCACTAGAAGGCAAAATGGTACATTGTAGCAGGCAAAATGGACCAAGGTGAAAAATATATTATATAATAACAAAATAAAGGGTTATAGGCGAATTAAACATTTAAAAATAAATAAACAGAACAATAAATATTACTGACAGTTTTCGCACACAAAATCAGTTTCAATGTCAGTACTGTCTATACCAGCGCATGAATAGTGTGCCCATAATTCACAAACTGAACACCGAATCCAACTTTCTGTAGATTCAGAATAAAAATATTGGCAGTACAAACACTGCGCATCTTTGTCCTCATCAGATGATATCTGTACGTGACGTTTTGACTCCGATACTTCTTTTGCTACTTCCTTCTTTGCATCCTTTCTTACTTTCTTTTTATTCTTCACCCCAGCAGAATCACCAAAAGTAACTTTCCTTTTAACTTGATTTGCATTAACTTGTGCGGTTTCCAGCTCTTTTTGGTATGGCGACGAAGTAATAATTGTGGTTTTACCTCTCTTCCGTGTAGTTCTCTTAATTTGTTTTGTCCGTGGTACGGGCAAAATTATTCAGGTGATACCAAAAAGCCATTTTTATTTAAGGAGTCTATTGATTGAATTAAATTACCAGTCCGAGAACAACTTGGCTGAGGATCGACTTTAGTGGCATTGGTTTCGGTATTAGCCGACAACAAACAAAAGCAGATTTTCAGTAAAAGTAAAACAAGAGACCATATAACCTCCCACCACTCGCCACCGGTTTTTCTAATAAGGCAATCACAAGGCACAATCTAGAAGGCACAATGGACCATAGAAGGCAAAACGGTACAGCTGGTCCGTTTTGCCCGGTCCGTTTTGCCTTTTCAGCAAGCACAAAATGTTATTAAAACTTTGGGGTTATGTTACACGTAAACAATCCGGTAAACTAATTTTAAAAAGCCAATATATTGCTATTTCAGGTAAGCACTACAACATTTTTGTATGTTATTTAAACAAAAATGCAGCACACAGAAAAATATCAAATTTTAGATCAACGATAGAAAAAAACTACTTACCTTGACAAAAGGGCACCTGTGCACTTCACCGGGAAATGACTAAATGTCCGCGGGATCTAACCGAATAAGAAATTAATTTATGAATTCTCCCATAGATGTCGTCATTAATAGGAGAAATATACAGGCGCTCCGTTTTGCCTGCAGGGTCCGTTTTGCCTTCGGTTCCCCTAGTGTAGCCGCTGTTTTAAACTTTAAAATACATCAAAATTTTAAGATACCTACCCGTTTTTTGGGTATGTGAGTCTATTAATAATATGTAATCATCAGGGAATGCTGACATTTTTATGAACCCCAACCAAAATACTTCATTTCCTTAAACCAAAAACTTGATATATTAATTTAATTGGGTTTAATTGATATGTTAATTTAATTTTAATTAGATCGATTTGTTTTAGGCCGGATTCGCATTAGTTTTTATTTTTCGTATAACGAGCGTCCTTTCTTTGAGACCACAGCCTTGATATTTGATCTGTATCGAAAAATTCTAAGAAAGGTGTGTATGGCGATCATCGATATTGTGTAGCTGTCCATGGTTTACGTCCTACATGATTCTATTTTATATATTTACCAATTAATAACATATCTAGATATTTTTCCATTTATTAGTCTCACTATATGACGTTATTAGGACTATTAAATATATCATATAAAAAAGAAATAGTAAAATCAGTAAGGTTGCTAAAAAAATCATGAGAATAGGGCTAAAAATAACAAAAACAAAAATATAACACTTTAAATTTGATCAAATTTTTCCGTTGCGTTTTTTTTGCATCTGAGGGTGCATCCACACTATCTTAAAAACGGCGTATCGGCGTAACGATCTTGAATAGATTTCCAGTAATTCTATTGGCTGAAAAATTCATCTGTCAAAAATGTTATCTGTCAAAAATGTCAGCCAAAAGAATTACTGGAAATCGATTCAAGGTGGTTACGCCGTTACGCCGATACGCCGTGTGGATGGGAAGGAAGTGTGGATGCACCCTGAGTGGAGTATAGTATCCCTTTCTAGTAATAATTTTGTGTCAATCTATACTAATATATAAAATCCTTAAGTGACTGACATACTGATTAATCACGATCCTGCTCAAACCACTCAACGTAAGAAGCTCAATTTTTTGCATACAGGTTGATTCTAAGGTGTAGAAGTTCGATAAGAAGGGATTTTTCGAAATTCCAGTTCCAAGAGGGTGAAACCACCCATCAAATATTACAATATTTTTTATTTAAAAAACGGTCAAGTTTCCGAAAAAACGCTTAAACACCTATATTTTATTTTGTTGTTTTACATATTTTAAGATTTTTTATAAATTTATACAGGGTGTTTCATAAAATATGACCATTGAATAATCACGATTCTGCTTAAACTGCTTGACGTTTAAAGCTGATTTTTGGCAAACGGATTGACTGTGGGGTGTAGAGGTTCGATAAGGAGGGGTTTCTCGAATCTCAAATTCCAAGAGGGTGAAAACGCCCCTCGAATATTCCAATATTTGTTATTTAAAAAACGGTTAGTCTTTCGGAAAAACGCTTGGACAAGCATAATTTATTTGTTTTTTTTACATATTTTGAAAATTTTTAAAAAATCATACAGGGTGTTCCAAAAAGCTGGGTAATTTCTTAACTACGATTCTGCTTAAACTGCTTGACGTAAAAAGCTTATTTTTGGCAAACGGATTTTTCGAAAGTCAAATTCCAACCAGATGAAACTACCCCTCAAATATTACCAAGTTATATAATAATATCGCCATATTGTTTTTTCTCATGCTGACATAAATGTGAGAAAATTTTATCCAGTTTGTATGTTAATGGAAATTCTTGCTTTGCTTTATCATCACCATTACAAATGATTAATTCGACGCGAACTAAGTCGCTGGTACAAGTGGTACACGCTAGTATAGATATAAAATGCCATAGTAAAATAAAATGCCATCCATAATATAAATACCTGTATATTTTTTCTTGTATAAAATTACAAAAAAAGCACTAAATTACATGATTTTATACAACTAAAAAATACCATATATACACGAACGCAAAATTAATTACACATCAAGCGCATTTAACATGACAAATCACTAAATAAGAGTCACTTTGGATGGATAACAACATGTTGTCAGCTGAACAGTCTTCAAGGAGGTCAAGAATAATTGGATTCCGAATAATTTTCATGTAAAATTTAATTTTTAAGGTCTAAAACCCGCTGTTAGGAATCCATTGGCGTGGGTTGGAAAACTTAGTGACAGAAAGGATAGTTGGGACAGGCTTGAGCGTTAACTCCGGCAGGGATCTGAGCGGGCTGGGGTCCAGCTGGGGCAGCCTGGGGGTAAGCGGGGGCAGCTTGGTAAGCCTGAGGTTGGTATTGGGGGGCAGGAGCGTACTGGGGAGCAGCTGGTGCGTTGGCGGCGAATCCTGGAGCAAGAGCTTCGGCCAAACCTTCACCGTGGTAGTCTCCGTCTCCGATGTATTCTCCTCTGTCCAGACGTTGTTGGACGTCAGGGGCGTACTGGCTGCGGGAAGCAGGGGCGTACTGTTGGGCGTAGACGGGGTTGTACTGGGAGACGGGGGCAGGGGTTACTGGGGCAGCTTGGGGCTGTTGGTACTGTAAAATATAATAAAAAATCGAATTAATAGATTATTTTCATCTAGCGGACGGTAGCTGTTCTATTACGGTTGGTGCACTTATTTTTTTAAGTACTGTATATTTATAATAAAAAAGACACATTTTGAGGTACTTCAGAAAAATTGAATTTTCTTTTGAAATCTCTAAAATATACAGAGTGGGTCTTAAATAAGTGCAAACATTTTCAGGGCTGGGTAGATCTCGATAAAAGAAACATATTTTCTCTTTACCGTTTTTCAAAAAGTCCAAAATAACCGAGTTATTAACTTTGAAGATTAGAAAAAAATGATTTTTTGCTTAAATGTTGAGAACTACTAAATTTTTTCTGGGTTTTTTTACTTGTAAATTTATATGTTTCCATATTATCAAGATATTATGCTTTTTAACTAAAAATTAAAAAAAAAATCCAAAAATTTTTCAAAAAAATGCCAAAAAAAAAACATAATCGTGTTTCTGGAGTCGAAATATACTAACCCAACTATCCCTAAAATATTTGAACTTATTTAAGACTCACCCTGTATAAATAGGGGGTGTTCAATAAATGCACGACCAAATTTCAGAGAGAGATTTCTCAGCAAAAATTTAGAAACTCTAGCAATACGTAGTTTTAAAAATAAAGGATGTTTTTGAAAAATATTTTTTCAAACATCACAAAAGTATTAATTTTTGCGACGTGATTAACAATAATAAAAAATATTGACAATATAAAAAAGGCATTTTAACGCCTAGGCATAAAAGAGAATATATTATTAAGCCAGAGATTAAACTGACATAAAGTGTCAAATTCAACGAGTGTAACCATAGTTTCTTGATATATAATTACTTACCATACAAAGTGTTGTTTTTAAATTTTTTTATATTATTTGCAAGATTTGAAATTGTTTAAAAAAATTATTTGTGACGTTGAAAAAAATGCATGTTCTATTGGGAGTAAAAATGACTTTTTGTGCATTATCTGTAATATCAAACGAAACAATCGCCACAAAATGTATAATTTTTACTCCTAATAAAATAATATTCTATTCTTTAAAGATTTAACTTGCATTTCCCGATGTTTATAGGAAGTTTTGTCATATTTTTGTAGATGAAATTTGATTAGGCTTTGCATATTATTAAGCGTGCTTTAATTATGCTTAATTCTTTATTTTTCTTATAGTATAATTCATTTCTTTTTATTAAAATTGGCTTCATCAAAGTCACCTTACCTGTTGGTATTGGGGTTGTTGAGGCTGTTGGTATTGAGGTTGTTGTGGCTGTTGGTATTGAGGAGCGGCATTTTGACTGATGGCGACGAGGGGGTTGGTGCAATCGGGGTAGTTGGGGCAAGATTGTGGGTTCACTCCGGCTGGGTAGAGGGCTGCTGGCTGGCCACCGGCCAATGGACCATTGTAGGGCTGTTGGTATTGGCAAAGGGCAACACCCAAGACGCAGGAAAGGACGGTCTGAAAAAATAAGTAAAATTAGTGGCAAAAGTTAAAGTTTTAAGCTTCATTCAGAACCTCGCAATTAGTGGAGTAAATTAGTAGTTTTAGTTAGCGTAGAAGTTTGTTCCTTTAATTTCAGTGGTATTCAAAACGTCAAAATTAGTGGTAGACATTTCCAATTAGTAGAAAAAGTTCAAAATTCGCGAGAAATGTCATGTTTATACCCTTAGAATCTCTTGAAATCCGTAATATAAGAAAACAAGATCGTATTTACAAAAAGAAAGATGATGATGGCAGCTGAAAGTTTGAAAATCTGATAACACCATCTTGTAAAACGAAAAAAAGTATCAATGAATATATGAAATTTATTTTGCTATATCTATTCAAATTAAAACAAAAAAAACAGTAAAAAATCTTCGGAAATATTGAGGATGTTTGAACTTTTATGGAGGCATTTAGATCAGCATCAAGTTGCGCAACTTGCCTCTATTTAAACGACCTCGTATCTCTTCTAATTTCCGAGATCCCAGTGACGAATAGCAATTCCGAAAAGTGAATTTGTGAATAACAAATAGAGAAATAAAGTTTACTACAGCCATTAGTTGCTGTTAACTAATATCGCAGAAGGCGTTATCGGCGTCATTGTCTTTTGTTGGTAAAAACAGATAAAAGCCAGGTTGAACTTTTCAAAAATGCGGCCCAAATATGAGGCGATCGGGTGGGCGATATTTATAACCATTGTATGTATTAATAATCTAAACGGTAATGTCGAAATAATAGGTTTGTTCCAAGATAGCAGAGAACCGTTCTCGGTACGGTTACACTTATGCGCAGTAGAGAAGATGCGTTCCAACAAAGAGACAATCCATTAGCGAACGATAACTTTTGCGTTCCAACAAGAATTGTAATACCGTATGATCGAAAAAAAAACGGCGTCCAGTTGGCTGGGAAATGACAATCGATGACATTTCCCATATAAATTTACATATAGAATGACAGCGATCTTCATTTCAGAGCCATCGCTGACGCCGTTTTTATTCGATCATACGGTAGTTCCTAATGTTAGGCAGAAAGATCCGCAAACTTTTTACAAAAAAAGCAATAAAAAAATTGAAAATTGAAAAACATCTTACATTATTGGTTTTAAATCCAGTCCTGTTCATTTTACAGTTTTCTAGCCATTTTTCTATCTCTCTCTCTCTCTCAATCGGATTAAATCTAATTCAGTTTCATAATATCAATAAAGAATAGGGTGTAATAAAAATAAATACGGCTATCGGTACTGTAAGATAAAGACAATTAAGAATGATAAGAATCTTGTAGTGAGAAACACGCACATCAAATCTGCATGAAGAACACAATAGGATAGAATAATAATTATTTTCAGGAACTGGAAGAATATGTATTGGTAATATGTTTTGCAACGTTTTAGTAACGATGTGTAAAAGAGTCTATTTCAAAAATCATTGTATTTTTTATAGTATACTGGGTGGCACCAAAATATTTAATCACATAGAATAGTCAACCGCTTACTTAAAATAAAATTTAGTACGTCATCGTCATGAGTCTTAAGTTGCTCATCCTATAGATTTTTAACCTGCGATTTTTCATTGTTCAAATTGTTAAAATAAATAACTTTTTATTAAAAATAAATAGTTATTTATGATATACCGAGTGGTGCATCGTCGTTGGAAACAGAAAATTCCATTCAAATTTTGAACGGTTCAAAAATTGAGTCTCCTATTAATTTTACAGCTAAAGGTGCGTATTCATTATCCGAACGAACGAACGAATGAAAGTGCGGTATATTTAGACGGGGACCGAACGCATGCGGCCGTTCGTGCGTTCGTTCGCTCGACCATCCGTTTCGAGTCGGTACATCAAAGGCGTTCGCCAACAAATGCCTCCGGTCATCTCGTGCGGTTCTATCGTACGGTCCCCGTCCATACCACTAGCGAACATTCGTTCGTTCGTTCGTTCGTTCGGATAATGAAATACGCACCTTAAAACGTAACTAGGTTTGTTAAAGGTCTACGTATGCTGAATACACACGCCAAATTTGAACGATTTTGGACAAGCCGATTTTAAGTAATTTGAGAAGAACTGCATCTATTTTTAAATTAAAACTGAACAGGTACTAACGTGCCTTAAGTTGTCATCCTATAATTTTGTCAATGTGAAATTATATTTTCTAAACGTTAGGCTTTTGCCTCCATTCGAATCAGTTTTAAATTACAAAAATACATTTAAGGGACACTAAGCGTAGGTATAGTCTGTGAAACGAATAACTTTGAATTTGACAATTCCCGCGGGCTTTTCTAGTGTTAATTTTATTAGGTTAGCAACAAATACGTTTAAAATAAAGTATACGGAGGGTACCGCTTAAATTCCTGTCCCGATATTGAAGGATGGCTATAGAATTTCAATGCATTTCCTACATAAGTCTATCCTTGGTTTGTAGGAGGTTTGACTAAACAAGGATGAACCTATGTCTTGAAACCATTCGACTCGATTTTCTGTCCTCCTTCAATACTGGGACGTAAATCCTCTCAATGCTCTTATGGGGAGGCCGTCGTATATTTTATTTAAACGTATTTGGTTAGCAACTTGCTGCCATGCTGACGCAATGCCGTCTCTAATAGAACAGCCACGGAGCGAGATTTATTACGTGACGCTAGTTAGATACTACGGATTAATAAATATGTTGTAGAATACATGGAAAACATAATTATTCCTCCTATTTTTAGTTTGTGTTTTAAAAATGACATAGTTTACATGAAATATCTACATATATATAATGCTAATGTTTATCTGTGTCGTCTCTACAGAAGTAACGACTTGCTCTAGAAAGTTGCTTTTTTACTAAAAGATAGCTAATTGGCTCTTCTAAAAACTGTCGTCGCCGGATTTTTTGTTTTTCATTTAATTAAAAAAAATAATAAGTACTTTTTTCTGATGTCGTGGCGGATGCGCCAGGCTTCAACTAGTACATAATATACAGTTAATACCTGTATATACATAAATTATTATACATAATATACAGGCTATAATGTTAGCTGAAACATTTTTTTAACCAAAAAAAATATACATATTATTCTACAACATATTTATTAATCCGTAGTATCTAACTAGCGTGACGTCATAAATCTCGCTCCGAGGCTGTTCTATTAGAGACGGCATTGGTCTGATATTTAGAAATGTCAAAAGCTGATGACATTTTACTTTTGACAATTATGACATTTCGTGTTGATCTTTGCAAGAAGAGGAAGAACTGTCACTTGTTTTATTATTTTCCTTTTCTATTTCACGAAAGTAAAAAGAGTTACCTATCTGATTCGTTCTGGGCACTCAATTTTAAGAATATCAGTAACTTTTTTGACAGAGGGATTTTATATTTGCCATGTTGGTAAAAAATAACAGTCAAAATTCAAAGTTATTCATTTTATAGACTATACTATACCGTTCGTAGTAGCACAGATTATAGAGATTATAAACTTATCGTCAAAAGCATTGTTTTTCGTGGTTCCAATTTTCGGAGTCGCGCACTAGTTAGGTGACTAGTTTGCGCACATAGCACGCCCACTTATGGCCTCTAAAATTGTGCACAGCGCTTGACCGACCTTGTGACCGGCCCAGTTATTACGCTGTTTAAACGGGAGTTTATTTTTGCGCACAAGAAAATTTACTCGTTTGCTCATCGTCATAAAAAACAATTTTCGTACCAGGAATTAGGGACAAGATTTTTATCTGTATACTTATAGGATAAATCTGTGGTAATAGTAGTAGTGTAGACAGCCATAGATAAATGAAACAAGTTTAGATTGGAAAGTGCCCATAATCCCATAAGGACAATGTAAACACTATTTGGCGTTATTCTTGCAACGGTCGCGACCCAAAGCTTTTGATAATTTCAGATCGGTTCGACTTTTTCCGGAATTATGTCGCCAAACTTTTATTCGCCAAAAAATTATTTATTTAAATAAAACAATAATTCCTTAATTATTGTATAGTGTATCACAAAAAATTAAATTTTAAACAAAATTTTCCATGGCCATCTTTGCTGCAAGCGGCTGCAATGAAACTTTGTATTCATAAGTTTAGCATAAAATAGAGAAGTCATACCCACCAACAAATAATATCTCGGTGGGACTTTTTGATAATTACGAAAGAAAGATGCAAACTATAATAAATTTCGCTGAAAAATGTATATTTTCACGGAGAAGAGAGTTAAATAAACACCCAAGTGTTTCAAAATTTCTTTTAAATTATTCGTTAAAATATGGGCTTAAAACTTTTGTATGGGGCACACGAATTAAGTCATTTATTTAATCCATAATTTGCTCTGTAAACTTCCCACATATTTAATATCTTTAACAAGAAACGCATATATTGTATACCATAATATATAGCTTTGGGTGGATTTTTCAATAAAATTCGATTTTAGTTGATTAAATTATGGCCTTCTAAATATGTATTTGAAGAAATTTGTATTAAAAGTTTTAATACGATTTTAAGCGTTATGTCCAGCATCAAACATACGATCGTTCTACTGTGTGGCGATCCAAAATAATTATATATTTTGACGGGCTTTCCAATCTAAATGTTCACGATGCACCCACCCCATATACATTTAGTAATGATTAAGAAATATGCACATAACTTTTATAATAAGAAATTTGATGGAATGTTAAAATTTATCAGGTTGTACAACACAAATTAATAAAACTCTTTTATGTTGTATTCAATAAGAAGATTTACTTTAGTTTAAGTGGCTTAAACAGCACAATTCTTTATGTGTATTAAACGTACTGAGCAGACCATTACTACCACATTATGTAAATATTATAAAAACTGCTTTGAGATTAAAAAGATTATTTATCCAACGGTGACCTCAGAATATTAATAAGCATCTCCGTAAAAGAAAAGTTTTCGCAGATAACTTTTATTAATTTTACGTCAAAATTTTTATTACTAGTAATAATTTTATCGAGTTAATTAACACTAAATGTTGTTAATGGTTATTTAAAAATTATTATCATCACTGTAAAGTAGAACATCATTAAAGCAGTGTCTTGGGAAATACCGATTTTAATAAAAAAATGTATGGAAGTCTTACTAAAAGTAAATTAAGAGAAAAAAAAGATAAAAGAGGCCTTTTAATACAATTTTAAAGAACATAACATAAAATAAAACATAACATTAGTAAAAATTAAAAACAAATTAAAAAACAATCATACAGAAAATTTGAAGCTTTTTGGTTTTACCTTATTAAGTCATTGTTATAAAGTAGTAATTGTTAATTTTGATGTTTAACTTAATTGTCATTTTAACAGAACGTCTACATAAAATTTAATTTTTGTAATCAATAATATACCTATTTTTTCTGGCTACTTATGTTAAGAACTAAAAAAACTTTAAAGTTGGTTAAAGACCAACACCTCTATAGTTTCTTACTTTTTTGACAAATTCATCAAACAAAAACGCTATATTTGTAACAACCAAAAACATTAAAAATATATGAATTGAAATGTAAAAATGTTTAACAAAAGTAGGAACACCAAATGAACTTCCCACAATAGAAAGCGCTATAGGAAACACAAGCATATCATTATTAAAATTATAATTATATTACATAAACCTCATTTTAAATGCATGACCTCAGACTAATGATCTATATTTCCATATTAGAGAATTTTTTGATCAATTAATAATTTAATGTCAACTCTCGTCAGAAATATAAACAGAGTGTTTCACAAAAGCTAACATATTATTAATGAGTAATCAGTCTTTTATATTCTTTATTTTTACTCATATTACTGCTGTTTTAAGCCGTTTTCTAGTACCTACATTTTATTTTTTCGTTTTATTTTTTTTTTGTTTAATTGTAATATATGTTCTGTGTTTATCTTTGCGAAATTAATTAAAAATCAAAATATTTTTTTTAATTATTTTGATCATCTAGATCTAGTAATTTAAAGCAATAAAGCTTTTGAGATGAGTCAATAAACAAATTATCGAGAAAAAACGTACCTAGACACTAAAATTATTTTTAAATTCTTTGCTTTGTTAATATATTCCACAGAGTGTTTCAAATGTTCACTAAAATATCAACATTTTGTCTTCCCTCGTATAATTGACAGACGGGAACTTTCAATAATTTGACTATAAATAGCTTGAAAAATCGTCGAAATCGGTCCACGAGAACCACAATATACAGGGTGGTCCGAACTGTATTCCGGAAACTTCGGCAGCATATTCTGCAGATAAAAATAAGAAAAAAAGTTATGTCCTAAAATGCTTAGTTTCGGAGATACAGGGTGTAGAAATTTCATTTTTATTTCGATTTTTTCGAAATAATTTCTGCAGTAACGTCAATATTTGGATGAAAATTGGTGTCTGGAAGTTTTTTGATATGAGAAATTTGATTTTGATGTCAATATGACTCCTCCTAGTAGAGGGCGCCACCTACATATTTTTTAACTGGTTTGAAAGTAATAACTTTTCGTCCGTACCTGTATAAAACTACTGATTAAAAAAATATATATTTACGACGTTTTTTACGTAAAAAATATCTCTTGGAAAAAATCGCTATGAGTATTGGTTTTCGAGATATTTGGAATCGAAATTATCAATACCTGTCGTCACTGATGTCATCGATCGTCATTTCATAGCCATCGCTGACGCCGTTTTTATTCGATCATACGGTAGTTATTAGACTGAGATCATAAATTTGAAAGTTTTTGTGCCAAAAGTTCAACAGAAACTGTTTTATCATCATATTTTTGCAGAAAAATTTATGATTAATTTAAAAAAATAGAAATTTCCCAAATTTATTATGTAAAAAAACTATCTACTTGAAGTGTTTATTTTTCGTCAAATTTCAATTCTAAATATCTCGAGAACGTTTGCTCGTAGCGATTTTTACAAAGAGATATTTTTTACGTAAAAAATAACAGAGATGTATATTTTTTTCCTCGGTAGTTTTATACAGGTACGGACAAAAAGTTATTACGTTTCAAAACAGTTAAAACACATGTAGGTGGCGCCCTCTACCAGTAGGAATCATATTGATATCAAAATCAAATTTCTCATGTCAAAAAACTCCCAGACACCAAATTTCATCCAAATATTGACGTTACTGCAGAAATAATTTAGAAAAAATCGAAATAAAAATGAAACTTCTACACCCTGTATCTCCGAAACTAAGCATTTTAGGACATACATTTATACGAACTTTTTTACTTATTTTTATCTGCAGAATATGCTACCGAAGTTTCCGGAATACAGTTCGGACCACCCTGTATATTTTTTTTTCAAAATTTTGTCGATTAAACACAAAAATAATTATTATATAGATTGTATGTTTTTCCTTGTTTTGCTAGGTACTTACCAGTTTTACGAACATGTTGTATCTGTTTTTGCTGGACAAATGCAAATGACTGACTGTCCCAAAATTCACCTGATTATTTATAGTGGAACCACGCCCGCCGATAGTACCACCGACAAGTGGTACCCGTAGCCCTGAACTTCAGTCAAAATTCAATGTAAAAATTGCAGTACCTTCTCTAAAAGGGGCGACGAATGAGACCAAGTCAGCCTCGGTTCAGTACCCCGCGATACAGGGCGGTACCTATCTTTCGGGTACCGCTCTAGTACGGTTTTCGTTAAGTATTTTTTTTATTAAAAATGATGTTTAAATGTATGTTTCTTCAAAATTTGGACCTATTAACGGGTGAGTTGTTAAATTATCATTATTATATACTAAGTAGTACCACAGATTAGGTATCCTATAAGTATACAGATAAAAATCTTGTCCCTAATTCGTGGTACGAAAATTGTTTTTATGACGATGTGCAAACGAGTAAAATTTCCTGTACGCAAAAATAAACTCGCGTAAAATAACAATAAACAGCGTAATAGAGAGATATCGCTAAACCGAATAGCGTGCATGGACGTTAATAAGGCCAGGTGTTATTTCCTTTACGTGAGGTGGTATTAACTCTCCTCATTTATAGTTATCGGATCGGAAAGAATTCTGTTCGCGTATAACGTCCGCTATTTAAACTTAACCTAACTTTGAATTTAAAACTTTGAAATTGTTTTGTTTACTAGGTATTTTAAAACTAAAGGGCTAAAGTGCTTATTTCCAGTGCTTTATTGTTCAACGTCTGCCAGTGGGTTTAGGGCAACAAGCAACAAATTCTCTTAGAAGGGCTAAGTCGTCATCTGCTGTAAACCTAAGACTCTTTATAGGTTCTTTAGTTTTGGAAGAGGTGGAATCCATATTTTGGGCCATATTTATTTAATTAAAACTAATCCCAGCTACTTAAATATCAAATTACCTATTAAAACTAAAGCAATAATTCAAAGCAATTCAAACATAACCTAAAATAAAAGATCTCACCGGCCGGCTCCGGTTGTCAAATACCCGCACATGCCCATTGAAGCAATTTTTAAACGTTATCAGAGGTTATTTAGAAAGAGCGCTTGGTGTAATTGATCCGCAAATCACGTCAGGCGATAATGTTATTAGCGGGTGTTGCGTTAAAAATTCACTCGCGCATATCGTAACCATGATAAGGTACGCGTAAATACTGGATGGCGCTATTCGGTTTTCCGATATCTCTCTAATAACTGTGCCGGTCAGGCGCTATGCACAATTTTAAAGGCCATAAGTGGTAGAGATCTGCACGGGCCGGGTAGCCCGAACGGGCCCCAGGCCCGGGCCGGTTTTGCACTGTCAATAGGGGTCGGGCCTCGGGCCGGGCCGGTTCCGCACTTTAAATAAACACAACTTTGCTTCTGTCCATGTCTTTGAGACACCCTGTATTATAACAGGTATTTTTAGGCTATGTTTATGTGAAATTGATAGATTGTCGGGAATCGACAAAGAACTAATTTGTCGATTCCCGACAATAATAATAATATAATAATTATTGTCGGGAATAATTGTAATTGAAAGGATTTTTGTAATTTTATTTTGATCATTTTATTTTAATGGTTCGGGCCGGGCCGGACTAGTTTAAATTTTAACTTTCCACAAACCGGGCCGGGCTTACAAAACCTACTTCTCTTCTCGGGCCGGGCCGGGCCGGGCTACAAAAAACCGGCCCGTGCAGGTCTCTAATAAGTGGGCGTGCTATGTGCGCAAACTAGTTACCTAACTAGCGCCCGATTCCGAAAATTGGAACCACGAAAAACAATAAAGAAAAAACAAAGATTATAATCTGTATAATCTGTGGTCATATTTTCAGTAAAAATATACCGACGGTGCCGTTTAAAAATCAAAAGTTGCAGCCATTTCCGATGAAACAGGAAGTGACCAAAAACATTTGAATACGTCAATCAATCCTAATTTAGGTCATATACTAAATCTCGTTTCTTAATCTGAAAAAATAAAATAGTTATAGAAGTGAGCCACGATTTTTTTTATATTTTGCTATTGGTTTTAAAAAAAAAAATTAAATGCCAAAATTCCTTAAAATGGTATGTCGGGAAAATAATCGTAAATCAGTATTCAAATTTATCAAAAAGATTTGAATTTGAATTTCAATTAACGGTATAATACAGTTTGATAGATCATTCTGTTTTGTCTAAGAGTTTTGCAGCTAATTCTCGGAGAATATACACGGTGTTCCATTCAAGTTATAAAAGTTTTTCATCTATAATTATTAGTAATTATTTAGAATTAATTTCTGGTTACACGCCTTGAATAAGTTAGAAGAAATTTAAAGTTGTTTTATTTCAGTCTGACTCTCAAAATTAACAGTTCAGACTGAACCTCAAAATTGATGGAATAACTTAGTGGTTTCAATTACACTTATAGTAAGTTGTATCCATAGAGAAAGCCTAATAATTAGCTTATAAAACAATAAACAAAATAACATCCTCGCAAATTTTGAAGTATAATTATTGGCAAAAATTAAAAATTTGTTAACTCTTTCTGCTAATTGACAACTACTATCCCTAATTTTCACGCTCTGAATGCTTATTAAAACTAGCGTGTACCAGCGACTTCGTTCGCGTCGAATTAATCTGGATAATCTAGCGAGAGAATCTAACTGGATAAAATTTTCTCACATTTATGTCAGGATGAGAAAAAACAATATGGCGATATTATTATATAACTTGGTAATATTTGAGGGGTTGTTTCATCTCGTTGGAATTTGACTTTCGAAAAATCCGTTTGCCAAAAAGAGGCTTTTTACGTCAAGCAGTTTAAGCAGAATCGTGGTTAAGAAATTACCCAACTTTTTGGAACACCCTGTAAGATTTTTTCAACAAATTCAAAATATGTAAAAAAACCAAATAAATTATGCTTGTCCAAGCGTTTTCCCGAAAGACTAACCGTTTTTTAAATAACAAATATTGTAATATTTGAGGGGCGTTTTCACCCTCTTGGAATTTGAGATTCGAGAAACCCCTCCTTATCGAACCTCTACACCCCACAGTCAATTCGTTTGCCAAAAATCAGCTTTAAACGTCAAGCAGTTTAAGCAGAACAGTGATTATTCAATGGCCATATTTTATGAAACACCCTGTATACATTTATAAAAAATCTTAAAATATGTAAAACAACAAAATAAAATATACGTGTTTAAGAGTTTTTCCGAAAAACTCACCGGTTTTTAAATAAATATTATTTTAATATTTGAGGGATAGTTTCACCCCCTTAGAATTCGAGTTTCAAAAAATCCCTTCTTATCGAACCTCTATAGCCTAAAGTCAATCTGTTTTCCAAAAATCAGCTTTTTACGTCAAGCGCTTTAAGCAGGATCGTGATTAATCAATGACCAGATTTTTCGAAACACCCTGTATACATTTTTAAAAAATCTTAAAATATGTAACAAACAAAATAAAATATACGTGTTTAAGCGTTTTTTCGAAAACTTGACCGTTTTTTTAATAAAAAATATTGTAATATTTGAGGGGTGGTTTCACCCTCTTGGAACTGGAATTTCGAAAAATCCCTTCTTATCGAACCACTACACCCTAGAATCAACCTGTATGCCAAAATTGAGCTTCTTACGTTGAGTGGTTTGAGCAGGATCGTGATTAATCAGTATGTCAGTCACTTAAGGATTTTATATATTAGTATAGATTAGAGGAACAAACTTCTACGCTAATTGAAATCACTCATTTATTCCCCTAATTTCGAGGTTTAGAATGAATCTTTAAAATCTAAAAATGTATAAATAGATACAGAAGGTATTTACTTAACTGAGACACTCAGTATCTTCTAAAAATAATTGTATTTTAACACAGGCAATGTCTAAGAATTTAACCATATGGAGCTAAATGGTATATTAACTGGTTATACTCCGCGTCGCATAACGTAAATAACCCTGTATATATTTTAAGTATTTTATTTCAACGCTGAACCCAAATAAGCTAAAATTTCATTCGCCAGGTTTAAGGAATATCTTGTATATCGTTTGAAAGTTGATGTAATTTATATGCAGGTAGATATTTAAATTGGATTTTTTTTTCGTTTTTATTAGATAAAAAAATAATTTTTTGTGAATCCACATTTTGAGATATCATCATCATTCTCAGCTCATTCGACCATTTCCAAATATGGTATCTTACTAAGGTGATGTAAGACTAATTAGAGACAGACCGCTACTTGTTAGAGACAGTACCCGCTAGTAGTTATAAAAAGCATTTTTGGTAAACTCTGTCTCTAATAGTTTCTGAAAAATAAAATTAATTTTTTTAAAAAGGTCCGATTAAATTTATATCTCGGAAACGAAAGTTCCAAAAAAATTCGTAATATATCTACAAATTCATTTACCCGCTAGTAGTTATAAAAAGCATTTTTGGTAAACTCTGACTCTAATAGTTTCTGAAAAATAAAATTAATTTTTTTAAAAAGGTCCGATTAAATGTATATCTCCGAAACTAAAGTTCCAAGAAAATTCGTAATATATCTACAAATTCACTTACCCGCTAGTAGTTATAAAAAGCATTTTTGGTAAACTCTGTCTCTAATAGTTTCTGAAAAATAAAATTAATTTTTTTAAAAAGGTCCGATTAAATTTATATCTCCGAAACTAAAGTTCCAAAAAAATTCGTAATATATCTAGAAATTCATTTACCCACTAGTAGTTTTAAAAAGCATTTTTGGTAAACTCTGTCTTTAATAGTTTCTGAAAAATAAAATTAATTTTTTTAAAAAGGTCCCATTAAATGTATATCTCCGAAACTAAAGTTCCAAGAAAATTCGTAATATATCTACAAATTCATTTACCCGCTAGTAGTTATAAAAAGCATTTTTGGTAAACTCTGTCTCTAATAGTTTCTGAAAAATAAAATTAATTTTTTTAAAAAGGTCCGATTAAATTTATATCTCCGAAACTAAAGTTCCAAGAAAATTCGTAATATATCTACAAATTCATTTACCCGCTAGTAGTTATAAAAAGCATTTTTGGTAAACTCTGACTCTAATAGTTTCTGAAAAATAAAATTAATTTTTTTAAAAA